CGCGCCGGTCCGTGGAGGCTGCGCAGCGCCCGCTCGGCGGGATCCACAGCGGAGAGAGCCCTGCCGTTCAGTGCTGCTGCCTGCCCAAACGCCCTCCCTGGAGATGGTCTCCTGGGTCGTGTTATCCTCTGTGTACCCTGTTAGCTGATGCACGCCACTGATTTTGGTGGGATTTTCATGTTGAATCACGGTGCTGTAGGTGAGCTTAGTAATAGTGAGAAAATCATGACCAGTGCTTTTAGGAGATGACTTTTTTTTCCTTTCTTTATTTATTAATATTCTTTGATAGGCATTTAGAAATATATGTATGCATATATATAATTGCAGCATTTCTCAATGAAATGGAGCTGGTTGAGAATAAATTGCTCTATTGAGTATAAATGTGCCAGCACAGAAAAAGGTAAAAATAAAACTGAAACCAAAACCTTTTCCTGTAGGACAGTGTTAAAATAAAACCCATGGAATTTATTTTAGGAGAAAGAATCATTGAAGCACTAAAGTTTTTAATTTTGTGCATTTTTTGAGTCTCACTACAGCATTCTAGAACTAATTTTTTCACATTCGCTGATAAATATGTGGTTTAGGGGTTGGGTACCATTTTGCTTTTGTCTGCTTTTATTATTTTTGCTTTCTTTTAAAAGTACAGTTTTAAAATGCAGCACTGTGCAACCCAGAGACTAATTCTGTTGTCTATTGTGTACAGTGCTCTCATGCCTAATATATATTAGTCAGTTTAGTCTGAACTTGAGACTTTCAGTAGTGACCCAGTGACCCGAGTGGTAGTATTAAAGCAGCATGCTTCAAAGTTCACTGCTTTCTAAATGTGATTCAGGGCTGTTGCTCTGAAGAACTTGAACTACTGCAAATAGAGGCTCTACTGGTATCTTTTTCCTTTTTTTTTTTTTCCACTCCCATAATTGAATTTACTCATGAAATACATACCAGAATTTGGAGTTACTTTAAACATGTGAGTATCAGCAGTCGCACTGAAGTCACTGGATCCACTCCCGTTTGTAAGTCTGTGTGTTTACAGTATTAGGGGCTGTGTTCTTGTTCTACTGTTTCTGGATTCATCCTGTCTTTGGCTTTACTGGAAGGTATAATCAAGCTGTTTGAATGATTAAAGTCATTGGGACTTTGGGAGCTATAGCTGTTAGGATAATTATAGGTGGAACTAAACTGTGATTTTGCACAAATGATGAAAAATACAGAGGAAAAAAAAGGAGAATGGAGAAAATCATACTTTACAACCAAACTACCTCTTTTTTTGGGTCCCTGGTGTGATTTTAATACAGGTGTTGGAATTGTTAGTGTTCTCAAAATGTGATGAATGGATCTTACTTTTGGATTAAAATCTCAGAATTAGATTTGGCATCTTATTGAGTTAGTGATCGATAATGCTGTTTTAGAACAGAAGTGCAAGGCAGGTGAGAAAGGTGAAAAACATAAGTGCTAATCTAAGTGATAATATTATGTGATTTTCATTGACTGGTGTAGTTCGCAGCGTTAATGACAGTGGTTTATAAACCAGAGTATTTTTTGTAGCAAATTCTCCATTTTCAGTTATCTATATACTCTAATGCTAAATACTCTAATGCTAATACATTTAATCTGTATTAGTGTGTGTGCACTTCCTTTATCAGAAAGGAAAAGGAGAACTTGCAATAAATGTTGTAAATTTGTGGGGATTTGGCTCCACCTTCAGAGTTCAGAAGGAACAAATGACAAATCTCTTCCCCACCCCCCCTTTAAAAAAAAAAAAAAAACACACTAAGCTGTCTTGCCTTCCTTCTCTAGGAGGCATAGAAGCAGAAATCCCAACAGAGTAGTGGTGTTTGTTTGTTTGTTTTTCCCTCTGTCGTTGAGAAACTATAAAGGATGCTTGTCTGAAGCTGATAGCTCTGTACCCCCTTTTCCAGATACCTGAATGACCATTAGCAAAAACTGGGACATTGCTGACACTGCTTGTGCTTAAAGTTACATGTATGCTTTTCGACTAGGCCTTAGAGCAGTGTTTATGGCACATGTTTTGGGGAGAAGTGTCCGACTGAGATACAGCATAAACTTTTATTACTGTTTTCGATTTATGACAGCTTATAGAATCTGTACGTTATCTAGATGTGAGAATGGATAAGCCCTATGAATAGGTCTGTGATAGAACTATAATGCCTTTATTGTTGTTTTTGTTTTCCCTTTAAAGCCTGATATTCTGTTTGAAGTGGGGTTGCAGAGAGTTGGTTTTGTTTTGCCAAGTCACTTTTTACTTTTCCATTTCTTTTTTGTCTTGTATATTAAGAAATAATACTGAATGTGTCAATTTTCATTTTTCTTTCTAGGTTCTGCCCAATTGCTGTTTAATGTAACCTCATTTGTTGAAAAAAATATCTGTAATGAAACTATCCTCTTACCCTGCCTTGTGTATAATCTACAAGCAAATGATAAAACGGTCATGTACGTTAAGTGGAAAAGACAAGGAAATTTATTTTTTTCTTTTAATGGAGAACATCAGTCTGTCACAGACTCCAATTTTTCATCGGCTAGATTATTATCTGAATCGGATTTATCCAAAGGTGTTGCCTCTATATTACTTAACAAGAAGGAAGCAATTCTTGGAAATTACAGTTGTGAGGTGACGGAATCAAACAGAGAAGGAGAAACTACTGTTGAGCTTAGGAACAGTTCAGGTAAGTTGTCTGCCATTGCTTTAGAGCCCACTGGGAAAGAAAAGCAAGATCTTATGGGAAAGAGGGCAATACATACTACTTAAAACTGAAAATCCCAAGAATGTAGGATCCTGTTCCTCAGTTTCTTCTGACTTGAATGCTTATTTTAAAACTTGAATGTTTTAAGTTAGAGGGGAATGTTTCTGTGGGAAATAGTTGAACTAATTTATTGATTGCATACTAATGCTTGAAGAGAGTTTGTTTGGTATGGAATTATGCTTTCCTACCTCCTTTGGGTTACATAGTTGCTGGTGCTTTCAGCACCCTCATGTCGTATTACATCCTGAATCATGCTTGATGTCTTTATAATACTGAGGGGTATATATCCGTGAGCTACTTCGCAGTGGCTGCAGAAACTTCCTGTGTAAAGAAATGCGTCTTGCATTCTTTAACTGTGCTGGAAAAACTGCAGACAGAACTAATGGAAATTTTGTGCGAGTTCTAAAAGGTGTTACTGTTTTCAGTGAGGCTGAAATCGCTACTGGCAGGTGGTAGCTTGTTAATGTTGCTCAACATTTAAGTCCCCACTAGACAGTGATAAGCTAAAGTAATGGTGACTAGGTGATGAGCTTCTCATTTGGTAAGCCATTTTACCTTGTCATCTTGTCAGAGGCAGCCCATGTGCTCCAGAATAGAATTCACCCAGGAAGCTTTTATATCATTTGTCATTAAAGCATTTCTGAATATCAAACAGATTGCTATTTGTATCTTACTGCTCTGTAATTTGCAGTTGGCTCAGAGTGAGTTAACCGTATACCCTGCAAAACAAACATGATCCTGAAGTGGGTTGAGAGGGATGCAGCCACTGAAGTGCGGAGCGAGGGTGCTAGAAAATTATTCAGTTCTTAGAATGCTGCCAAAAAAAAAAAAAAGACAAAAAAGAAAAAAAGCCAGCAACCACCAACAGAAAGAAGAATAGACTGTTTCCTTCCGTGTGCTAAAGCTTCCTCTCAGGCTTTACTCAGCCTTTTTGGATGATATTTTTGTCATTCAGTGTTCAGCTGTAGAAGAGGAAGCAAAACCTGGGCATGTAGCAGAATCGAGTCACCAGTCAAGTCACCAAATAAACTGGGCCATAATTCCTTTGTTAACAAAGGTTAATTGGAGTGAGGGTTCTGTTTAGGTGATTTTTTTTTTAAGATCAATAACTAAATAAAAATTTACATGATGCAGAGTACTTTTTTTTTTTTTTAAACTCTTTACCTTTCTCTGTGTTTAGAACTTTAGTTTTTGAAAGAAGTATAAAGACTGCAAAGCAGAAAACTGATGAAATTTTTCTAATTTCATTTTCTAGTTGTCAGTTGCGGCGAGGAAAATGTCTCAGCACCAAAGGAAAAATGTGGTTGGTGAATAATTTATAGTGGGCACAAGGACATGTTAGGTTTGAGAACATAAGTTAGAAAATGTAAAATACGCCTTATGTTTGAGGGTTTAACTGAAGGTAAAACAGTCACTTGTTTGTTCTTTAAATATTATTAGTTTTTCAGTGCTTGTACTCCAGTATTCTAATGAGATTCTTGAGACACTATGTTAATACAAGACAGTGCAGCAAGTGAGCTTTAAAAAAAGTTAATGAATAATGGAAGTCCTATACCAGTCTTCAGTCTGTCTTTTTTTTTTTTTTTTTCTGAACAGGCAACTCATGTTCTCACTAGTAATATGTTCCAACTGATCTTTCTGCAGAGGTAATGCTAGAGGAGAGAGCCCTTTCCTAGCTCACATTTACATACGGAATCAGTATCAGAATAAGGATCAGATCCATGATGACTGACATACCTCAGCCCTCATCTTTGGACGTAGTCTTTTCTAATCAAGCATTTTACTAGTAAAAGGAGAGAGAATTTGGAGATTATTTCCTTGTATTGGTTCCCAAAATAGTATTTTTGGTGAGGAATTTACTTTGTTGCTATGAAGCATGAGAGTATGGGCAAAGTGTTGCCAGGATAATGTGTTCAGCTGCTCCTCTTACGCATAGCTTGCACGTACGGAGAACATTGCGAGCACTTCCATATACGGAGTCCTTTTACACTGAGAGTGAACCACTGTAACTGGAGGTCCCACCATCTGGAGGCAGAAACTCTGACAGATAACAGGCTCCACTCATGCTTTTTGTATTCAAAATGCCCAGTAAGGTCATCCCCAAGTGCTGCAGAGGAAATTGCATTACTTTTCAGGCTCTGTTTGCAGATGTTTCAATTCATTTAAAATTCTCAGTTGAACCACTAGAATTTGCCTGTAGGATTCAGCTTGTCCAGAGAAAGGCAAATGTGTGTTAAAGTTACTGTTCAGTACTAGCTGTTTTATTTGTTTATTTTCAAATATGCATGAAAATTTTTTAACCCTAAATTTCTTTTGATGGTAAGGAAGCTGAATTCCTCTCTCTGCCCTCCTCTAATATCTTTTTTGTTTCCTTTTATTTGTGTGGTGACCACAGCATCTCTTCTATGATTGTGGACGTGAGAAAATTTTTTTAAAAGATTATGTTTCACAGTATCCCCATTTCCATCGATTCAAAACTGTCAAAGAAATAAAGTGCTGGCTGCAGTGCTAATTTATTGGAATCCTGTACCGATATCAGTTTCCCTGACAGCTTGTTCTACCCTGGAGTGAAATGGCATGCTTGCTAGGCTTAACTTGCCATCTCCTACATTTGTGTGTATGTGTACTTTCCCGAAGCTTTATATGCTCTTTATGGCTGGAGACTCTATTTCTTAATGTGACCCATAGTCCTTATGAGTAATACTAAATCTTTTCAGAAAGAAATATTTTTGTAGCCTCTTACTTCAAAAGGGTGCAGCTTAAAAGTAGCAATAAACATGGGCCACAAACTCACAGGCCCAGATTTGTGATCATTTTGAGGGCTAATCCATGCACGTGTGCGGGAGTTGCGTTGGATGTGTGTTGAACTCCTTGCTGCCATGGTTACATTACCACTAATATATGGGATGAACCATTTGAAGGCAGATTCTGAAATATTTATGGATGCGCTGTCTGTTCACAGGTGTGCTCCCCACAGCACAATATTCTAGAGTGGTGGCACAGGTACAAATAAGTATGTGGCACTTCTAGATATTATGGTAACCCTGTGCTGCACTGTAGCAGGTGAATAAAACCCCAGTAATGCCAGACTGACATTATAAAAATTGCTTAATTGGGTAAGATCCAAATGAGAAATCTGAATGACAGATTTTGAGCCAAAAAAAGATTAAAGTAAGAATTTGAAAATGTCAAATGCAAAGAGCAGAAGCCTTCTTATAAGGAAAAAGTAAGACTGAAATGCACACCTGTAGTTTTGTAGTTGCATGCAGTCTTTAGCATCCTTGTTCTGAGTAACCTGTGCGAGTCGTGATGCAGCTTTCTCTGTAGTGCTGTTCACATGAGGGGTGGGAGAGGCGACGAGGGGAAGGAATGTAAGTGTAGGAAGCCATATCCTCTTGTCGTGAAATAATGCTTTCCTTCCTTCTAGGCATTCATGTGCTCTTAGGAAATGGTTCTTGATCCATAGGCTTTATTACTAACACCACTAACTAGTAGACAGTTGAGCTGAACCCGTTAGGTAAAGTCACTTAAAGCTGCTTTCTTTGGAATGCAGGAGCTTCAAGCTCTTTTCAAGATACTTGGCATTGAAAACTGTGAGGTATTGCTGCTTAATTCTGTTTTTCTGGAGCTGCAGATAGAGTTTTTAAATATAGAGTGTACATATGAGTAGCGTACATCAAAAAGAAGATGAGAGATCTCTTCAGAAGTAAGTGTGGAGGCAGGAGGCCAGTGGCAAGTATAATGTAAGAAAGGTAGATTTTGAGTTTCAGAGAATGAATCTAAATAATGTTATGAGCAGAGATGCAAGAATCAACTGTATTTTCTGGTTCAGTTGGGGGATTTTTAGGAATTGCTGCATGCCTATTGGAAGGCGGCCTGTATGATCTTACAGCATGGATGACTGGACAGCCTAAGGCTTCTGAGATGCAGGGAAAGAAAGCCAAGTAGATGACAGTGGGAACATGTAAAGGAGAACTTGTGGTGTCCAAAATTAGCACAGTAGCGTTTTTCTTTCCTTTGGATTAACTCCTGTGTTCTATGTCACACATCTGAATTTGTGTGAAAATATTATAGTAGTATTATAGTCTTTGAGGATAGACTAAAATAACTGGAAAAACACCAAACTGGACTTTACAGGACACCTTCCCTGATGAGCCTATGTACATTGCTTTGCTGATCTCTTGTGCCATACAAGCTCAATAGCTGGTACTGCCAGACAATATCATACACGTATCCTCTGTTGCTCTGGAGATTAAGATATACAGTTTGAAAAAGGTTTTAATAACTAAAGTACCAAAAAAATAAGCTGCCCCTCAAAAGATTAGAGCAAAAATCAATAGGTAGAAGTCACAGCTTTTGTAGCATTAAACAGCCTAGCCATTAAATATAGTATTGAGCATTCTAGAGTATAACCTGAAAGAAGCTCTAAATGTAAAGCTAGTAACATCCATTTTTGTATTCTTCCTATGATTCTTCTGTGTTTATTCTCTAGGATCATGGTTTCTTCCAGTGGAAAGTGCTTGCATCATAGTGTTGCTATTCTTAGCTATTATTTTCTGTTGGACTCAGTTAAGTGTTATTGGTAAGTATTGACTTTTTAATTCTTTGCAACTGTTGATTTGCCTTAAAATCACTTTTATAATGGGCGCCATGTAAAATGAAAGGTGATGCTCACATATAAAAGACTAGTGGTAGAATTGATTGGGATAGTACAGGCGTATGTCTGCTCCATCAAATAATTTAGCTTTGTTAGCTGCAGAACCCCCTCCTGCAGATCCACTGTGCAGTACAGGCATTCACATTTGAGCTTTCTTTTGCAATGAATCAGCTAGTAACACGAGAGACTGAAGCCAAATACAGTTTGGAGGATAGTTCATAGCAAGCACTGGTACTTACAGTCTTACAGCTGTCTGTAAGAGTATACCCAGCTACACTCCTCCTCTGTGTAGTCTTCCAGCTCCCTTTCAGCAGGCTTTGTCCTCATTCACAAACTCTTTCATGTACGTATTGTACATCTTTTGGCATCAAGTGACAAAAACACTAGTCTGGCAGGTTGCAGTAGCGCTTGCAGTGGCTGGGACCTCATCAATAAGATCTGTGTTTTGGGGCTGCAGCGTGTCTGTCACATGGTGCCAAAGTTATGCAATGTGGATCCAGGCACTGTTTTATTTATTTATTTATTTTTCCATGGGTGGGTGTGTGTAGATTATAATTTTTGCAGGGTGTAATTGATGATGCCTGTAGTCATTGATTAGAACAAGACAGTGTTGCTTCACTATGACATTATCAGACTGCATTAGAAATGGAAACATTTCATTTTATGATTATAAAGTCAATATTAGAGAAATATGGTGCTCTCAAAGTAAAATTATACACTGTATTTTTAGCACTAGCTTAGTCATAATTTAACACTGACACTAGTGAGCTTAGAAAAATTTTCAGGAAAAAAATCATTCAGCAGTGTCATATGTTCTTAGGCATTCTTCACATGCTGGTGTCCTTCTTGCGTGAGAGCTTTGTGTCCTAGCATGGATTCAGATTGCTTCCTGAGGTGCCATGTGTTGTGTCAATCTTGGTGATTTTCAGACACCCTCCCCCCCCCTTTTTTTTTTTAATTTGTAGGCTTCTAAACATTTTCTTGGAGCACTGGAGTATATAAGAAGTTTATAGTAATCAGTTACTTATTCATCTATCTGAATGTAATTTTCTTTAATATCTTTTCATAATCCTCTAAAAGTGGACTGTTGTTTTTTTCAAAGGGTCTTTGGCAGAAGTTGAAAACTATTTTTTTTTAATGATTTTGTTTCTGAGTTTTAGATTCCTGATTTACATGATCATTTATAATAGTTTAAGACTCATTTAACTTGTTCTAAAATGTCCAATAATCATCATTGCCTACTATGTGTATTCGGAACTGGCACATTTTTAGCATTTGATAAGATAGTAATAATTGTTCTGAAACATAGATGCATCCATAGAAAAGCACTGTGGCTCAATAGGTGTAAGTTGAGCTTGCTTATGTTTTGCTGTGCCTTCGCACCTTTTTTTGCAAGCCCTTTGACTTCCCTGAAGAATAGTGTGCATGCTGTCTCTAACTTATATTAAGTCAGTATGAATACAATGAAAGAGGGTTAGTTGCAAGAGAGGTCCTTTTGTAAAGGAATACTACCCCTCCATAGAGTAGTATTAAAGCTTTTCCTTGCACACACCCTTTAAAATTTTTAGGGTATACTGGTGATGTGTGTATGGGTCTGTTTTGTTTTGGTTTTGTGGGTGGTTTTTTTTTTCATGCTGGTGCAGTGAGCAGAAGTAGGATGTTAATTCAGTCAAAACTCATTTCATTTTTCTGTTCAAAGTTAGTTCCTCTTTGTGTTCAGTCTTTTTTGGTGACTACCTATTTACATTTTAGTTCAACATAAGCTAAAGTTCTGGGAATTTTCATCAGAACTTCAAGCTTGGAACAAGCTGTGCCTTTTTATCTTTGTTGTAGCAATGCCTAAGGCAGGAACACATGCAGCTAGTGTACTGCAGTGCTTTGTGCTGTTTCTTCATTTCCAACGGCCCCTGAAGTGTCTCATAGCACAATCGTACTGCAAATCAGCCCCATGCGTAGCTTCTGAACATGTAAATCACTCGTAATGTGTTTATTCTCAAAGCACCTTGGTGAGGGGGGATCATACCCTTGTTCCTGTGGGAACCAAAATGGTGCATCTAATATCACACAGTGTTGCTGGAAAGGGAATTAAACTTGGGCTTTCTAAATCCCTGTCTAGACTTCACCCGAATAACAAACGGTTTATTGCCCCGTGCAAGTAGCAATAGTGCATCCGACTGAATTAACCTGTGTCTTGCCCCCACAGTGACTTTGATAGCAGTTGACCTGGATTGATAGATGGCAGGATTAAGAATTTAACTGAAGCAGCAGTGCCAGGTTTCATTGATATGAGTAAGCCATTATGATATGATATTAACCATACCAAATAATGAAAATAAATGAGATCTTAGTGATTATGGTTATGATTAGAGTTGTTGTCTAGAAATGAACTCCTAAAAATCACAAGATCTGTGTTCTTGTGAAGGAATGTAAATGTCTGACTTTCCTCTCTTTCTCTTTATTTGTCTTTAAGCATCAAAATTTGAAACCGTATTTCAGAAGAAAATCAGCATTATTATAGCATGTAGCATCTTCACAATTGTTGCTATTGCAGGTGTTATTCTCTTTGTGCCAGGTAAGTTTACGAATTTTCTGTCTAGTTGATGGGAATAAGCACAAATCCACTTTTGGCCTAGTTTAGTGGGCTAATTATTTTCATCTACTAATCTTTAAATTGAATACAATTACAGAATGAAATAAAAACAGTGTTATGGTTTTCAGGCCCTCAAAGTGGCCACGGCCATAGGGAGACAGATACTGCAAACTGACTTCTATTTGCTGTCCTGCTGCCTCTGTTGAAATATGGAGGGTAGGGAGTGACTTCCACTGCTGAAGCGGGATCTTTGGGGGACCCTAAAAATGACAAAATTGATGCTTAACATATGCTGCTTGTGCTTTATTCCAAACAAGGATTTCTCTTTTCCTAATTTGCATGCAAACCTTTGCAGATGGCTATACTCCAGGAACTCAAGCTGGACTTGGTTTAATTGTAATCCCTGCTCTGATCCTATTGCCACTTCAATGCCTTCTATTTGGAATGGGTGAGCATTTGTCCTTTCACCAACTCAAAAATATACAGATAGGTACACTCAGGGCTCCCCCCCACCTCGGCTCTCACAACCTGCATGATATTTTCATCATAAATAGTTGCTATGATAGTGTCCTGGGTTTCTGACTGTCCCCAAACAACATTTTTATCCTGACTTTGTTTGGCTCAGGTGCTTCAAGGAAGAGGTATAAGTTACCTTCTTGGAAAACAGATTAAATGTAGGATGTCCAAGTATTTCCCATATATGTGTATGCACATATAAATATAAATCATAAATTATAAATTTTATGATTTAAGGAAGAAGGAAGCCTGAAGTGACTTGCTTAGCTTGTTTTGTAAACAATACTGGGCTGGTTAAGTCTGGAATTTAGGAGAACCTGATGCCTGGTTTTGTGTGAATGATCTAGCTTTTGTTTTCCTATAGTTTATCTTTAAAATTACTTTTTTTTTTTCTCTCTCTCTCCCTTTCCCAGTTTTGGATAGTCTAACAAAAACAGCATATGCTCTGCTAGCTTTGGAATTTATTGGTTATATCATAGCTGTGGCTGGTTTTGCACTGTGTGTCTCAGGTAAGAAGTTTATCCACTGTAAGAGCGATTTTTACCTTGTCTACCCCTGATGGAGTGTTTCGTAGTAACACTAAAATGTTACGAGAATGATTTCACTACACTGTGTTTTATCAATAGAGCTATATGTTGGGACTGCTGCGTTAATGCTGTTTTCTTTGGTGAAGGAAGTATAGCCCAAGGGCACCATTAGGCACACCAGCTTCATTGGTGTGGCCATCTCCAGCAGGACTGCATCCTAGGAGCAGCTGCCTTTGAAACCAACAAGCGAAAAATAAGCAAAGAAAGCCACCTTATGTATTTGCTTATTTGGCAATACTGAGGATGCTAAAGAGTCACCACAAACCAAGACTGACCTTATTTCTTATTTTTACTGTGACCTGCAGTATTTAAAAAACAACCCTTGCCCAAGAACCCAAATAGAGCCATAATCAGTTTCTGATATTCAGATGAATAAATCTCTTGCCAAATCTCTTGCTTGTACGTGAGTGATAACTGAATTGCTAGGGAATGCAAATCATTGCGTTTGCCTTGCACTGGTTCAGAAGCAGCAAATTAGCAAGGAACTGGGAACTGTTGAAGGCTGGGAATTGCTGGCATTTTGTTTCAGCCTTGCACAATAATCCCTCCTGAAAAAGGAGCACCAACTAAACAGCATGTAGCCCTTCTTCCTCTACCCCTTCCTTGCTCCTCTCCCTTCCTTCTACTCTTGATGAGCTCCCAATTAGTTGCAGTGATTCCACATCCTAGGAAACACGGGTCATAAGAAAAATCAGAGAACAAAGAGTTTTTGAAATGAGACATGGCTGGGTTGTGATGGCTGATTTCTGCTCTGGGGTGTCATTATAAACTTGAAGTATTCCTATTATCTTTGGCAGATTTGCTGCAGATCTACATTTTCTTCTCCCTTTTATCACTTTTTACGTCAATTTTTTCCCACTATTTTATTAATAATAGTGTTGTATTCTGTAATCTCATTATAGTTTTAAAAAGTTGGTGTTGAAGATGTAAGCTTAAATCAAAAAATAAATAATGAAATAATGCTTTCAGGCACAGTGAATGAAAGTGGAATATTACAGCTAAACTTCTACCAGGATAAATCAGTAAAAGCCTTTGTACAATAAAGAACACATGCAGGAAAAAGAAGATGCAGAAATAGTTCTTGAGTGCTTTTGAAAGACAAATCGGATTACTTTTGGTTTATTATTATATTATCATTATTTTTTAGTATTTAGATCTATCTGAAAATATGTTTGCTTTAATTCAAGTCAGATAATTTTTCCTTATTTCTTGTTTTTAACAGCCTGTCCCGTGTTAAATGGGTCTGTTGTGATTGCTGGCTTGGCTATTATGGCTATTGGAGCTTTGCTTAGTCTGGTTTATGTGTGTTTTGTGGGTAAGTAGGACATAAGTCATTTTATCATCTCCTGTTTTTCCTATGCTGAATTTTAAAAGCAGCAGCAAAGAATAGCAATGCTTGCTTCTGAAACCTGAGCGTTTACCTTATCTCAAAAGAGAGGAAACCTATAGAAGGCAGTCAAGGTGGCTGAGTGAGAGGGAGCGCAGCGGGCAGGGCTGTGGTGCAGCTGCTTCCCGGCCGGCGTGCCGCGTGCGTGGCCATCGCAGGCCGCTCCTCAGAGCAGCGTGGCCTGATTTGCTTTGAGCTGCGCGGGGCGGCTCTTCAGACACCTCTTACTTGGCACCCAGGAGAGCAGAGCTGAACATCTGCTGCTCTGCACTCCCCCTGACTGTGCACTGTGAGCTCAGGGTCGGCTGCGCTGGCACACGCGGTCTCCTGGGTTTAGGAGGTGTAAATCAGTGTGTGGGTATGGGGGTTCCCCTAAAGAAGTTAAGGCAGAAGACCTAATACATGAGATTGATGGAAGCCAGTCAAAAATGAAGCCAGTCACCTCTGTGAAGCTAGCCTTTTAACGATGATAAAAGTATTTTCTTACTGATGTTATAAGCTACTTGTTTGTATTTCTTTGATCCTGTGTATTAGTGGTCTGCATAAATCTTGCCTTTGTAATTTGATTTTGCTGGCTGAAGAGCTTGAATGTCACTGCAATGGGCAGATTCCAACATGCCAAACAATCACAAAACTCAGTGCAGCATAATTCATTTATATAGCTAAAATCTTAACTCTGTTAGTCCACAGATTGTATATGCTAAGAATATTTGGGTGCTTAGTAAAGCGCTTGAAGGAGAGTTTTGGGATTTACAGGTCATGTTAAGTATTTTGGGTAAAGGAGTTGCAACCTTACGTTATTACTGTGTTCTAAGTTTTATTGGTAGATATTTAATTGGTCATGAAATTTGTTCATCTGTTTGTTCAAATCTTTTTTTTTTTTCCTATTCAATTATTTTAGGTTCCCGCATGAAAGAGCATCATCCTCCAAGGGTAAGCTTAAAATTAATAAATTTGGGGTGACTAGATGGCTCAGGGGAGTGTAGTGAGATACTGAGCCTTTCTTCACTAGTTCCAATTCAGCCCAGGTTGGTAGAAAGCAAAAGTTCTGCCTGTGTAACACGTCTCATGTTGAGTGAGTTGGTGGTCTTCACTGTCCCTGCTGAGTGTGTCACTAGTACTGTACTTGCCACCCCAGCAGCTGGGGTACCTAAGAGCTACTCCAACTGCTGTGCTCGGGTGGAGCTGCAATTGCAAGGGCTGTTGCAAAAAGGTAGTGGCTATGAAGGGAATCTGGACGTTCCTTTTACCATGCACTCCTTTCACCTGAGTTTGAGGACTTTTGGGTAATGTCTCTCTTTTTTTGTGCTTTTTTTGTTGAGGCAAATGCAGATTACTTTTCATTATTACTATTATTTATATAGGCAAGCTATATAAAAACTAAACCTTTTTTTTTTCTAAAGCTCTTTACTCCAGAATTCTTTAATGTTCTCTTGAATTCTCAGCTATGCAAAGACTGTTGCCTTGATTACCCCCTTCCTCTCCCCACCCTCATCATGTCCCTTAATATTGATGAGACCATCTGAAAGCAGGCTGTCTGTCTTTAGGTTACACAGAATAAAAGGAAAAGGTTTTTTGTTTGCTAGTTTGTTTTAAAGGCTGCATTTGGTTATTTTTTTGAGCTTTTTGATTCTAGAGTAATAATTCTGCAAACTGTTATTTTTAAACTTGCACTGTATTTTCTAGTGGTCCACAAATGTGAACAGTCTATTTTCTGGAGTTTTGCAAAAGCAAATCAAAATGCCCAACTCTAGAAACCTAGAAACCTTTCACAACAGTGAAACCTCCTTGTATCAGGGAAGTGGGATGAACACAAAGTCATTCCATTTCAGACATCATTTGAGACAAGTTTAGCCCTATGTCTCCTCTGCAGTCTGCAACTACTCTAGAAATACGATTTCTAGCAATGGCACAGGAGACCTGAATGCAGTTAAGAGACTTCTCCTTTCTTTTTTTTATCCAATTTCATTTTAAAGAATAACATTTCAGAGGATTAGTCTCTTAGGGAAGGAGAGGGATAAGTACATGAGGCTTTTAAAAGTGAAGGAAAAAAGAAAAAGAGGAGGGACACAAAGCCCATTCTGTTAAAAAATGAGCAGAGAAGTGTAAAGCCCATTCTGTTATTAAAAATGAGCAGAGAAGTGTATTACAGAAACCTTTATTCCAAAATGCAGTAATGCCTTTAAAGTAGCATGTTCATATTTACTTATAGAACAGAAACAAACTAGGCAAGGAGAAGATTTTTTTTTTTTCATCTTGTTTTTTAAGGAAGACTTGAGATGTGAACCAACATGCTAAGCCTTTGTGGATCTCCGTTCTCTTTGTGAGCTATATTCTGTGTGAGCTGGTTTTACGGTGCAGTGAGGATTTGACAAGTGGAAATGGCTGCATTTTAGTATGCAGTACTAAACACGATGTTAGTGCATGAATTGGAGAAGCAAATGAAATCTGAAGAAATATTTAAAACTGGAGGCCATCAGGAAGCTCAGCCTTTAAAAACTCCGTGCGCTTTTGCAGCCACAGTTAGTTGAGGGTCAAATACGATGACAGTAATTTGTGTGAATGAAACATATCCTGTGAGGATATGAGAGGACATCATGGGAAGAGCTGATGGAAAATAAGTCTGCTAACCTGTTGCTTGTTTCCATCAAGTGCTACTCAGACTATACTGCTGTGCCTTGTGGGGAATTCAGTTGTGAAGGACTCTTGAAAACAGCTTTTTGTTCTGTGTAATCTAAAGACTAAGGAAAATTTGTTGTCGGAGGACCGTGCTTCATTTTGGCACCTGGGCACGCTTTTTGAAGGATGCCTGTTACTTTCTTGAGGCGGAGGGGGTAAAGGTGCTTATTTTGAAATCTTTTAATCCTAATCAATTACCTATTAAATTTTTAACACATCTGCAGATTGCTTCTATTTCCGATTGCCTAGCAGACTAAATGCACAGTTATTTGATACATCTCTGTCTGAGATAGTAACACTTGAGTGCTTGATGAGTATTTTTGCTTTTGTTTTCAATCATGTTATTTTATTCCTAACCACCGATCAAGTCGCAGCAATAATCTGTTCTGATATTAGTACCCAAAAGTAGTATCTGCATGCCTTTTGCTGCCACCTAGAGGGATTGCATCTGGGGAAAAAATGAGCTGTATAGTGGGGAAAAATAGCCTGGAGATTGCAGTTACTGATTTCTTCTTTTCCAGAGCTTGAGCAATCAATCTTATTAACTTTCAGCTTTTTTCGTTTTCGTAGAATCACTACTTACTGTATATGTCAATTAGAGTAATTTAACTGTGGCGAGCCAAAAATAAACACGAAGGCATTTTATACATATATATATATTTTTAAATGTTTTGCAGAAAGCTGTAGAAGAACCATTAAATGGTAGGTGGTGTTCAAGATTTATCTTCTAATTAAGGGATTAAGTTTAGAAATAGATCCAAAAAGAGTTTGTATTGTCAAAGCACTGAGAGGACAGGCGGGCATGGAAGCTGTGTGGCTCCTGGAGTTCCCGAGAGCCCAGTTCCTCAGTGGAATTCTGCCTGCCCTGTGGCACAGAGAGCCCCGCTCTGCGTCCTGTCCCACGCTGGCCCTGCCTGCCGTAGGGCAAGCAAGCAGCTGGGCACGTTGCTTTGCAAAAAGAGCTCAACCTCCAAGAGAAAAGAGGGGCAGCTCCTGGGGGCTGGTGCTGAATCTCTTTGACAGTCATTTACTGCCATGAAATGCTTGTGGCTATCGCAAAATCTGTCCGTGTCACTGTATCCTCTGGGGGTTTATTGGGGTTGGAAAAACTCCACGGTGAGGTTGTGAAATTCTGATAGTGCTTTAAGGTGGGGGAAATGTCACAGTGATGGGGGCATGGCCCTGATTTTTATCTATTCATTTATTTTTTAATATACTGTTCACTAATTGGCATACTGAGAAGTAGTGGCAAGTTATAACCTGTATTTTAGAATTACTGTGCGTATTAATTTTAAAGCATTTCTTACTGTCTGGCTAATTACTAATCCATTTGCTTGGCTTTTAAAGATGCAAAAGGAGTGATGTTAGAACTATGGTGAGTCAAAATATATCTCCAAATGTTTGTTTTTAACTAGTGTCTATTTGGGGATTTTCATGTTTAGCGTTAATAGCAAAACTGGAATACAGTGCAGGTACTCTTCTAAGCCAGATGATATTTCAGTGAATAAAAAGAATATATATTTCCTTTATCATACATAGAGGCAGAGTATGTATTACTCAGCAGGGATGATGATGTGTCAGTGAACCTCTACTTTTTTTTAATCAAATGTAAAATACAGATATTTTGTGTGTTTTTTCATGCTTATATTTTAAGGTATATGGAGTGCTTTTCTGGTTTTCTGGGTGGGGGATGTATGTGTGTGGTGTTTTTTTTTTTTTTTTTCTCTACCTATTTAATTGGTGATCTCTCATGGAAGGCCAAGTGGAAGTGGTTTAAAAGTGGATTGTCTCTTCCCCACACTTTAGGTGTTATTTAAACTCTCTTTTTTAAGTTGTTCTTACAGAAATCAGTCTCTTGTTTTTCAGTGTCAGATAGTAGTTATTAAAAAACAAAAAAAACTGAACCATCTTTCTCATTTAAATACTATTTGGCAACACTGAATACTAAAATAGCAGTGCATTTGTACGTACATTATAGACAAACTCTTTTAAATTTATAATAAGCTGTGAAATGACAGGGACTAGATGCCCGACTGTTCTCATTTAAATACTATTTGGCAACACTAAATACTAAAATAGTGGTGCATCTGTACGTACATTATAAACAAACTCTTTTAAATTTATAATAAGCCATGAAATGACAGGGACCAGATGCCCAACTGCTGCTTCTGCCTCGGAGGTGGCTCCTTAAACCAACAGATTTTGCAGGTCAAAGCGGAGGGAGGGCTCTAACTCCAAGCTGGGGGCAGAAATCCCTAGAGCTGAACCCGCTTTGTGCACGAGCCTCCCCCAGCTCTCCCGCTGGGCAGGAGCACTCGGCCTGCTGAGGCACGGGAGCCCCGTTAGGAGCCCAGCGGCAGGGCCGGGCCGGGGGGGGCGGG